GGGCCTGGGGTTTAGGGCTTGGCGTTTGGGGCTGAAGGTTTACACCTTAGCATTCAGGGTTGAGGGTTGGGCTTTAATCTTCATGGCTTCGGATCTGAAGCATCCGCCTGGCAACCGTTTGAACCATACCCTAAACCTCAAATCCAGCTTCCATCTGCATCTTCCACCACCTCCACGACCTCTGCTTCTTCGTCTTTATCCGTCTTGGCCTTCCAGTACTTTCACCACCGAGCATTGGTCTGATTTCATCTTCTTCCGCCACTTTCTGGTTAATTACGGCTTGACCTGGCGTTCACAAGCGATGGAAACGGCTGCTATGAGGGCCAAATGAGAAGTCTTAGCAAAGCGCTTAAAATGACTTGTTACGGCTTGGTCTGGCCTTAACATCGTAGAAAGGTCTGAATAACCTGAATAAGTGTGATGTGGTCTTAGTAGATTCATAAGAAACCTTAAGAAGGGCTTAATATCGCTGCGACAAGGGCTTACTATAGCCTGAACCCGTATCAACACTTCACTCTATGTGGACCAAACAAGCGCTTAGTACGAAAGCTTTCTGAGCATGTGATGTGAAAGAAGAATAAATCTGACTTTCATAAGGGCTTGATAAGAAAGCTTCGCAAGGGCTTAACTAACATGGCTTCCAGAAGAACTTAATATTGGGCTTAATTCAAAGTGCTTAAGAATGACTCACCCCCTGTCGCCTTGCCTTGTCCATGTCTTTAGCAAAAAAACAAGTACCTGAACCTCAACATTGCTTGTGGAAGGAGCTCTTCGTCCTTCCCGTGTGGATGAGCTCCCTTTGGATCCGGCAGTACTCCCTGTCGCTTCTCCCTATCGCGGGGCCTCTTTGCGCACCACGAGTCACACTTCAAATCACTTGTAGTTGAATCGTGAAACTCTATGTCACAAAACCCCAGATTTCACGCCCCCAAAGCCCCCCTAAACCCCAATCCAACACCCTAAACTCCAATCCCAAATCCCCAAATTCCCAAATTCCCAAATCCCAAACCCCAAACCCAAATCCCAAACCCTAAACCTTACCGAAAACCCAACTCCCAAGAGCCCAAAGCCTCCCCCCCAAGGTGTGCGGTCACAGCCACGCCCGCACCAAGGAAGGCGCTGAGGCCCCAGAGCCTCAGAGCCGCAGGGCTTCAGGGCTTTGGGGGGCTTCAGGGCTTCAGAGTTTAGGGTTTTATTTTTTTAGGGTTTAGGGTTCAGGGTTCAGGGTTTAGGGTTTAGGGTTTAGGGCCTAGGGTTTAAGGCTTGGGCTGAATAAAGGGTAGTATACGGGTTCCATAAACCCCTTGTAAGGGATTCCATAAGGGCTTCCTTCAAAGTTTTAGTGTGCATACTTTTCTGACAGCTTATATGCAAGAGTAGTTTAGGGTTTATACTTGTCTAGGGTTTGAGGGCTTTAGAGGGCTTAGGGGTTCGGGTGTAGGGTTCAGAGATGTTTGGGGCTTTGGGTTTAGGGCTTGAGGCTTTGGGTTTAAAATTTGCGGTCTGTTGCCCTGCAGGAGCGATAGCTGTGCAACATAGAGCTATCGAGTGCACGGTGCTCTGCGAAAGGCTTGTGGGCCATCCCACACATACGGCAAAGCCACCCCCCAACCTGTTCTACCAGGAAATAGAACTAAACTCATGCCATGTTGGCAAGCTTCTTCAACAATCCTGGGCCACTCACCATGGGTAGGTAGATGGCTTAGGGTTTGTATGCTCTCGGGTTTACGCATCTAGGCTTAGTGCTGCATTGCCTTCGAGGTTTAGTGGCACAAAAGCCTCAAGTCCACCGCGCTTCCATCCTAGTCTCGGAAAGCTTTCTATGCTACTGCTCGGATGGGACGGATTGAACCCTAAACCCTAAACCCTAAACCCCAAACCCGAAACCCTAAACCCCAAACCCTAAACCCTAAACCCTGAACCCCAAACCCTAAGCCCCAAGCCCAAA